GTGCCCCAGGCTCCCAGTGCCCTGTAACCCCAGTGCCCCAAGCTCCCAGTACCCTGTAACCCCGGTGCCCCAGGCTCCCAGTGCCCTGCAATCCCAGTGACCCAGATTTCCAGTGTCCCAGACTCCCAGTGCCCCAGGCTCATAGTGCCCTGTAATCACAGCGCTCCAGGCTCCCAGTGCCCTGCAAACCCAGTGCCCAGGCTCCCAGTGTTCTGCAGTCCCAGTGCCCCAGACACTCATTGCCCTTCACACCCAGTGTTTGTGGGCATGATGGCTGATTTGTTGGTTACCCTTCCTTTGTAACACAAGTGGTGCCTTCAGCTCTGAATGATAGTCCATGATCTTCCCTTGCACCAAATACTTTGTGAAGATCTCACTAGTGCCCATTCAGGCTGGTTTGTTGCGGCTAATTTCTCATCCTATTGAATATTGCACTTCTCAATCCCTCGTGAGTCACTCTTCAATCTCTCAAACAAAATATATAATGATCACTACTGCCTCACCATCTGGCTGCCACTATATCCAATTTTGCGCTTTGAATCCGAGCAAATTGTTACTTCTGGGGCTTTCTCCAGATCGCTGTCCTCCTAACACATTCTAGAAATGTATCACTGTTACATTTAAAGTGGTTCTTCTCCTGTCACTCTGTGTGACAATTCATTCCTTTTGTTAAGGTAACGGATTTCCCACATGCTACCCTGAACTCTTCATTTATACTAACCTCACTGCACAAGAGAATACTGGAGACTGGCTGAGGTGTTAACATAATGTTTATGTTGCTGGATGAGGCATCGTTTGAAATCTGTCCCCTTTGGAATTTCAAATTCAATGGAAGAAAGTTAATGTGGGATAAAATGTTACTCAATCAAGACAATTGAGAAACTATTGGTTTGTAGTGATAAAGAAATAGCCCCAGGAAGGAAATCTGCTCCCATACTGGTGACTCCAGATCCACTGTAATGCACTCGAGGAAGACACACACACGTCCCTTAAGATCTAAATAAGTCTGATCTCTCCAGGGATAGGTCAGAGGCGGGATGCTACTAACTTAGGGAGGTGATGGCCTACTGATATTATTGCTAGACTATTAATCCAGACATTAGATTGGCATTATATCCACAAGCATCCACTCCCTCCCCCACCAACGCTCAGTAGCAGCAGTGTGTACTATCTACAAGATGCATTGCAGAAATTCACCAAAGATCCTCAGACAGCACCTTCCAAACCCACGACCACTTCCATCTAGAAGGGGACAACAAGGTGCAGGGCTGGATGAACACAGCAGGCCAAGCAACATCATAGGAGCAGAAAGGCTGACGTTTCGGGCCTAGACCCTTCATCAGAAATGGGGGAGGGCAAGGGGGTTCTGAAATAAATAGAGAGAGAGGGGGAGGAGGATAGAAGATGGATAGAGGAGAAGATAGGTTGAGAGGAAACAGACAGGTCGAAGAGGCGGGGATGGAGCCAGTAAAGGTGAGTGTAGGTGGGGAGTTAGGGAGGGGATAGGTCAGTCCAGGGAGGATGGACAGGTCAAGGGGGCGGGATGAGGTTAGTAGGTAGGAGATGGGGGTGCGGCTTGAGGTGGGAGGAGGGGATAGGTGGGAGGAAGAACAGGTTAGGGAGGCAGGGACGAGCTGGGCTGGTTTTGGGATGCGGTAGTGGGAGGGGAGATTTTGAAGATTCTAGAAGGACAAGGACAGGACAAGGGAACACCATCACCTGCAAGTTCCCCTCCGAGCCACTCACCACCCTGACTTGGAAATATATCGCCATTCCTTCAGTGTCGCTGGGTCAAAATCCTGGAAATCCCCCCGCTAAGGGGCATTGTGGGTCTACCTACAGCACATGGAATGCAGCGGGTCAAGAAGGCAGCTCACCATCACTTTCTCAAGGGGCAACTAGGGACAGGGCAATAAATGCTGGGCCCAGCCTGCAACACCTACATCCCACAAATGAATAAGTAATTTTTTAAAAAATTCACTCAGGCAATGTTTTGGGGACCTAAGTTCGAATCCTGTCATGGCAGATCGTGGAATTTGAATTTAAGAAAAATCCAAATTAAGAATTATTGATGAAATGATTAAAACTGGAAAAACCCATCTGGTTTACAAATCCTTCAGAGAAGGAAATCTGCTTTCCTGGGCCTGCAAGTAATTTCAGGCCCGGCAGCAATGAAGTTGATTCTCAGATGCCTCCTGAAGTGGCCTAGTATGCCACTCAGTTGGAACAATCACTGTAAAGTCTCAGCAGAGAGTGTGGCTCATTACTACCCCTTCAAAGGGCTACTAGGGGTGGGCAATAAATGCCAGACAGCCAGCAATGCCCACAGGGCACACGTGAATTTTAAAAAGTGCCCCACAATCTTTCCAGTGTAGCGTTGAACATTGATCTCCCTGCCAATCCCACTGGCTTGTTCCCTCTGTGATAATGCTGTGGCACTATGAGGTTACTTTGGATCCCCTTTTTTTAAAGGGAGGTTTTAAGGTAGAGGTCCGGTGTTGTCTACTTGAAAAGCCAGCTAACGTAAACAGGCTTGTGAGTTCTTGGGTCTTTTAAATTTAAAGTCAGAACAATAGAAGCAGCCTGGCTGGGTGTGGCCAGCTCTCTCAGAACCAGGGTTTCTAGTTTTGTTTTTAGTTTTTAGATTGACCTTTAAGCAGTTGCAGTTGGAGTCCCATCAGGGCGGAAGTTGCTGGAGCTTTGAAGAAATAGAAACTATCTTTACCCTCTCTTGGTTACAGCCGGGATTTCACTCTACTGCTGGGTTACCTGTGAGACCAATCTGTTTTCCTGAATTTGCCTTTTTGCCAAGGGGTGTGTTTATGGGGTGTTACTACATTGGGACAGTTAATTAGTAATAGTTACCATATCTATTATTCGGTTAAGTTTCCAATAGAGTTAGGTTATTCTAAATTCCTCTTTCTTTTGTTGTATTTTAACAACAGTGTTTATATAAAATTGTGTTTTGCTTAATGCTGTGTAATTTCACCAGTCACATTGCATCTGGAACACAGTGCTTCACATCAACCTTTAAAATAAGAAACAGTTAGGGTCTTTCTTAAAATATTTTGAGGGGCGGGGGTCTGGCCTGATCTGTAACACCTTTAACCTTGGTTTATGCTCATCCATTTCATTGCCAGGGCAATCGGGGAATGGGCACCTGAATTTAGGGAAGTGTCCCTGTGATCAAATTCATGCTCTGCCTGATTTGACGGATTTTCTCAGACTGTTTCACCCGAACCCCACGTCTGATCCAGACGGATTATCAATGTCCGGTTCATGTGCGCCAACACCGTACCTGAAAAAATGTCATTGTGGATCCTCCTTGAATGGTGCCATACTCGATGTTGGTTTGGTCAGCGAGGTCATCAGCGGATTCAATTGGGACCTCCATCCTCTGCACAGTCAGGAAGGCAGCAAGGTTGGCTGTGTACGAGGAGATGATGATCAACGTAAAGGCCCACCTAATTGTCAGGCACACAATTCAGGTCACAGTCGGTTAATGCTGGACAGAAAGAAGACACCAACAGAACCCAACAGAACGCACCAAGCTGGAATGATGGATGAAAGCTCCCTGTTCACCCACGTTTCCCATCAAACCTTTCAAACCTATTGATCAGTTTGGGTTCCGCCAGGGCCACTCAGCTCCTGACCTCATTACAGCCTTGGCTCAAACATGGACAAAAGAGCTGAATTTCAGAGGTGAGGTGAGAGTGACAGTCCGAATTATCAAGGCTGTATTCGACTGAGCATGGCATCAAGGAGCCCTGGCAAAACTGGTATCAATGGGTATCAGGGGGCAAACTCTCTGCTGGTTGGAGTCATACTTGGCACGTCGGAAGATGGTCGTGGTTGTTGGAGGTCAGTCATCTCAGCTCCAGGACATCTCTGCAGGAATTCCTCAGGGTAGTGTCCTAGGCCCAACCATCTTCAGCTGCTTCTTCACGAGGTTGGACAAACTTGGATTGTTTTCTCTGGGACATCAGAGGTTGAGGAGCAACCTGATAGAAGTATATAAAATTATGGAGGGCATGGATAGGGTGGGTGGTCAGAGTCTTTTTTTCCAGGGTAGAAATGTCCTCAGGCAGCACCTTCCAAACCCAAGACCATTTCCATCTCGAAGGACAAGGGCAGCAGATACATGGGAACACCAATCCCTGCAAGTTCCCCTCCATAAGCCACTCACCATCCTGGTTTGGAAACGTATCGCTGTTCCTTCACTGTCGCTGGGTCAAAATCCTGGAAATCCCCCCCCCAAGGGCATTGTGGGTCAACCCACAGCAGGAGGAATGCAGCAGTTCAAGAAAGTAGCTCACAACCACCTTCTCAAGAGGGGCAACTAGGGACTGGAAAGAAATTCTGGGCCCAGCCAGCAATGCCCATGTCCCATGAATGAATAAAACAGTGCCACATGAAATTACTGCAAAGCTATGAAACAAGAAATATACAAATCTCGTAACTACTGATCTTCTTCAGCTAGTGCTTTCCCGAATTAGCCACAAATGACTCCTGTCTGAGGATCCAGGTAATGTGCAAAGACAGAGGGAATCGCATGGGAGAAATGATTGGAAGTCACCCACGTGCATGCCAGTGACCATATGACCCTGGAGACAGTTCACCCCTGAAGCTGCCATCCTTTCTCATGGTCAGAATGGGAGATGGAATGAGGTAGGCGATTGTCAATGAAAGGTTGGTCGATGTTGTTGTTGTTCCCCGCCTCCCGCCTTTCCCCAATGGATAGATGCTCCCCCTCCCCAACCCCCGACCCTCTCCCGACTCACCAGACTCCGCTGACACAGCGTGTAGAAAGCGCACGGGGCATAATCTCCGAGCCTTGCTGCATGAAACCTCCAACCGGGAACCAGAGGCTGTTTCCGAGTGTGTACTGGTTCTCCAAGATGTCCACCCGCTCTCTCAGGCACGGGTGAGGGTTATACCACTCATAAGGGCTCATCCTGCCAAGGGAAAGGAGAGGAGGCAAGGTGACTGCCCGAATGGCCTCGCAAAACAAATACAACTACGTCTGGACAATATCCAGGCTTGGGCTGACAAGTGGCAAGTGACATTCGCGCCACACAAATGCCAGGCTATGACCATCACCAATAAGAGACAATCCAACCACCGCCCCTTGACATTCAATGGTGTTACCATCACTGCATCCCCCACTATCAACATCCTGGGGGTTACCATTGACCAGAAACTCAACTGGACTCACCACATTAACACAGTGGCTACAAGATCAGGTCAGAAGCTGGGAATACTGCAGCAAGTAACTCCCCTCCTGACTCCCCCCAAATCCTGTCCCATCATCTACAAGGCACAAGTCAGGAGTGTGATGGAATACTCCCCACTTGTCTGGATGGGGGCAGCCCCAACAACACTCAAGAAGCTTGACACCATCCAGGACAAAGCAGCTCCCGCTTGATTGGCACCACATCCACAAACATCCCACTCCCTCCACCACCGACGCTCAGTAGCAGCCGTGTGTACTATCTACAAGATGCACTGCAGAAATTCACCAAAGATCTTCAGATCCTTCCAAACCCACGACCACTTCCATCTAGAAGGACGAGAGCAGAACACCACCATCTCCAAGTTCCCCTCCAAGACTTGGAAATATATCTCCGTTCCTTCACTGTCACTGGGTCAAAATCCTGGAATTCCCTCCCTAATAGCATTGTGGGTCAACCCACAGCAGGAAGAATGCAGCGGTTCAAGAAGGCAGCTCCCCACCACCTTCTCAAGGGGCAACTAGGGTCGGGCAATAAATGCTGGGCCCAGACAGCGACGCCCACATCTCACAAATGAATAAATTTTAAGAAAAAGGCTTCCCTGCTGTCAACATGCATGTAGGAATGCAGAAGAAGGCAAGAGCTGGAGGAGGTCGTTCAGCCCAACAGACCTATCCCATCATACAGATAATGGCAAGCCTTCACCCGCCCCCGGACACCCCACCTCCCCCCCAATTCCGCTGGTGCAGGGATCATCAACTTCGTCAATTCTAATTGACCCTCAGCCTCAACAGCTTTCTTATTTGGAGGGGCTGGGGGTAGCTTGTTGGGAGGTGGGGTGTTTGGTTGATTCCCATTCCTCTTTATGTGTCGTGTGCTCCTTGATGTCACCCACAGAAGTCCTGGTTTGCACTTGAAGGTTCTGCCCCCTTTTTCTGGACTCATTATCGTCGATCTGCAAGGCACCCTGGGGGGTTAATGGAAGCTTGTCTATATCATGAGGGCTTAGAACTGCAAGGGAGAAACCTTTAACTCATTAGCTCAGCCGAATCAAGTCTTCTGTTTTTCGAATTTATTTCAAAATCTCTAGAATTCAGTCCGAGGGAGAGCTGAATGAAGCTTGGGAAGATTTGGGAACGGGGTCAGCGGTGTGAGACTCGGGAGATCGGGGGTGGGGGGGAGCAATGAAATTAAAAGGAGCAGCAGGAGGGGAGGGGTTTCAAAGATAGTCAGACTGTGGGAAGTGTTGGCATGGTGGCTCGGTGGTTAGCACTGCAGCCTCACAGCGCCAGGGACCTGGGTTTGTTTCCAGCCTCGGGCGGCTGTCTGAGCGGAGTTTGCACATTCTCCCTGTGTCTGTGCGGGTTTCCCCTCACAGTCCAAAGATGTGCAGGCTGGGTGGTACTAAATTGCCCCTAGTGTCTAGGGTTGAGCAGGCCAGATGGGTTAGCTATGGGAAATGTGTATTAGGGCATGGGGTTGTGTCTGGGTGGGAAGCTCCTCAGAGGGTCATCGCAGCTTTGTTGGGCTGAATGGCCTGTTTCCACATTGTAGGGATTCTACAGTGAAGTGAGGGGAGGCGAGTGTCAGAAACAGCTAGAGCTGGGGAACGTTTCGGTGGGAGCTGCTACAATATACTTAAAGTGTGACATGTTGGAGAGCAGCTTTGTAATGGGTCTGTCTTGTGCCTGGATATGGATTTAAGTCCCTCAGCACAGCTTTAAAAAGTATACACGGATAATCCAGATTTGCAAAATTCCAAAGCAGCATTTCGTTACGATAGAGCGAAGTTGAAAAAGGAATTTTCCAAGTCTATGTTTCAGTACGAGTGAGCCTAATGTAAAGGCAAGGATTTCAGAATATAGTCACCCACTAGCTTCAGCAAACGCAGGCAGAGAGGGGAGTGGGTGACTATCGGACAGAGGACAGGGACCGTGCAGGTAAATGAGGGAACCTTACTCACCAACTGTTTATCAGCCTCGGGGTGGGGGTGGGGTGCTGTGAGAGAGTGAGGGTCACTCTGTGGGTGTCAGGCAGAGGTACTGAGGGTAACATAGCTGACTCCAAGGTACCAGGGTTAGGGATATCAAAGGGTGGCAGTAGGGAATTCTGAAGGGGGAGGGCAATCAGGGAGAGGTTGTAGAATCATTGGTTCCTACAGTGTGGAAGCAGGCCATTCGGCCTATCGAATCTACACTGACCCTCCGAAGAGCATCCCACCAACCCCAGCACTGTAACCCTGCATTTCCCATGGCTAACCCACCCAGCCTGCACATTCCTGAACACTATGGGTAATTTAGCATGGCCAATCCATCGAGTCTGCACGTCTTCGGACTGTGGGAGGAAACCGGAGCAAACCCACGCAGACACGGGGAGAATGTGCAAACTCCACACAGACAGTGGTCCAAGGCTGGAATCGAACCCGGGTCCCTGGCGCTGTGAGGCAGCAATGCTAACCACTGAGCCACCACATTGTGATCAATATTGGAATCAATGACAAAGGAAGCAGGATTTTGGGAGGAAATTGTGGTGCCACCCAGGGGAGAGCAGATGCATGTGTGGCTGGAGAGATGGTGCAGGAGGGAGGGTTTGATATCCTGGCGGCATTGGCACTGCCTCTGGGTGAGGTGGCATTGTACAAAGGTGGATGGCTTCTATCTGAACAGGAATGGGATCAAGCTTTTAACGGAGGAGTTTGCAAAAACCATCAGGATGGATTGAAACTGGATCGACTGGAAGAGGGGAGAGATTCTGAGACAGAATTAGAATTTAAAATATGAGTCTAAAAAGCTGATAAAACGTAGAAAGCAGGAACAGGAGTAGGCCTTTTTGAACCCGCTCCACCATTCAATGGCTGATCATCCAACTCAATCCCCTGTTCCTGTTTCTCCCCTTTCCCCTCTGATGCCCTTTAGCCCTAAGGCGTATATTTAACTTCTTCTTGAAAATATCCAATGTTTTGGCTGCAACCGCTTTCTGTGCCAGAGAATTCCCCACTCTCTGAGCGAAGACATGTCTCTTCATCTCAGTTTTAAAACGCCTACCCTAAATCCTCAGACTGTGACCCTTGGTCCTGGATCCCTGTTCAATGGGAACATCCTTCCTGCATTTACCCTATCCAACCCTGTTAGAATTTTATAGGTTACAAAGAGCAAAGAATGATACAGCATAGGAGCAGGCCCTTCGGCCCTTCAAGCCTGCGCCGACACATTTTGCCCTTCCATATTCAAACTGTTTTCCTTTACAGGATCCGTATTTCTCCATTCCCTTCCTATTCATGTCTTCGTCCAGGTGCTTCTTGAATACTGCCTCTGGTGTCTGCTTCTTCCTCCTCTGGCAACATGTTCCAGGCCCTCACCACACTTTATGTGAAAAACTTGCCCCACACATCTCTTTTAAGCCCCCCGACCACCTCAACTTGAACCTGTGTCTCCTAGTAATTGAGCTCTCCACATACCTCATACCTTCCACTCTATCCAGGCCATTCACAATCTTCTTCCAGGTGATCCAACTTTTCTTCCTAGCTAAAATCCCCCATACCAGGCAACATCCTGGTAAACCTTTTCTGTACCCTCTCCAAAGCATCCACATCATTCTGGATTCCTATGAGAATCCTCCTGGCTCTTCTTAACTTCAGTGAATAGAGGTCTAACTGAAACAATTGTTTTTCAGAAGTCCATAGCTTCCTGAAAGTGGCAAAACGAGTGGCTATGATGGTAAAGGAGGTATATGGCATGCTTGCCCTCATTGGTCGGGGTATTTTAATATAAAAGTTGGCAAGTCAAGTTGTAGCTGTATAAAACTTCAATTAAGCCACATTTGGTGTGCAAGTTGTGTGCTCTTCTGGTCGCAGGAAGGATATGAAGGATTTGGAGAGGGTGCAGAAGAGGTTTACCAGGATGTTGCCCTGGATTGAAGTGTATTAGCTACAAGGAGAAGTTGGACAGACTTGGATAGTTTTCACTGAAATGTCAGAGGCTGAGGGGGCAACCTGACAGAATTATATTAAATTATGAGAGGTGTGGATAGGGTGGGTGGTCAGAGTTTTGTTTTCCAGGGTGGAAATGTACTCAGGCAGCACTTTCTAAACCCATGGCCACTTCCATCTCGAAGGACAAGGGCAGTAGATCCATGGGAACACCAACCCCCTGCAAGTTCTCCACCATAAGTCACTCACCATCCTGATTTGGAAATATATCACTGTTCCTTCAGTGTTGCTGGGCCAAAATCCTGGGACTCCCTCCCTAATGGCATTGTGGGTCAACCCACAGCAGGAGGAATGCAGTGGTTCAAGAAGGCAGCTTACCCCCACCTTCTCAAGGGGGCAACTAGCGATGGGCAATAAATGCTGGGCCCAGCCAGTAATGCCCATGTCCTGCGAGTGAATAAAGAAAAATAACTAGGGGTGGGGTTGAGGGGGTGTCATAGGTTTAAGGTGAGAGGGGAATGTTTAAAGGAGATGTGCAAGGTACATTTTTTTTACTCAGAGGATGGTAGTGTGGAATGTGCTGCCAGGGGAGAATTTTTTTCCTTTATTCAGCATTTGTTGCCCATCCCTAAATGCCCAGAGGGCAGTAAAGAGTCAGTCACATTGCTGTGGGTCTGGAGTCACATGTAGGCCAGGCCAGGTAAGGATGGCAGTTTCCTTCCCTAAAGGACATTAGTGAACCAGATGGGTTTTTCCCAACAATTGACAATGGGTTCACGATCATCATTAGTTTCT